ACTATTTGTGTGGTCTTCATTGGGAACCTGAGTACAGACCCAAATCAAGAGTAAATAAAGAATTTGTTTAGAATGTAAATATTGAAATGATTTCTTAAAATAAATCATGAGAATAACTGATATAAATTAAATGAGAGAACCTTTATGAGAAAGGTCAATTAAACCAATTCTGACTCTGTCAAAGTCAAACACCCAAAAATATGATGTCAGGAAAAAGTATTGCAAATAAATATGAAAATTATATCATTCAATAGAGTTTGACTGTCTGATCGCAGCGGTGCAAACGGAATTCGATTCGGAGAAAGTTGAACCAAAAAGTGTACCCCGACTGGAACCAAAAATTGGTCCCAATCAGGTACACTGTGCGAACGGCGCCTCCTCCTCCACTCAGCCGATTCCTACGTAGAAGCAGCTCAGCATTGTCCTCTTCCCCTTCATCAACTCCTATATAAGGAGTACTCAAAGCCTTCAAACATGCATCATTCTTTCTCAAAATTAGTCCATAAGAATCCTGAGAGTGAGGAGAGTGGTCTGGTGTTGTTGATTGTTGTTGAAGTCGCCGGAGCTAGCCATAAACCTCGCCGGAAAATTTCCAAAACCTCCGTTAAGCTTCGAGGTAAGCCCGTAAATATATCTAATGACTAGAATGTTCATATAGGTCGTTTCTACGTTCATAAATGGTCATTTGGTTGGGTTTTGTGTTTGACATGTTTGAAGAACCAAGAATCATAAACCTTGAAATTGTTGTTAAACTTCGAATTAATGGTATTAAAATGATCTATTGACATTGGGGAACATTCCTATATACTTTAATTGAAGTTTGGTGACTTAAAATGATGTTTCGAAAATTGGACCCGAGGTTGAAGACGAAGTACTGTTGCTGTAAGGCAGCAACGATCGACCGTACCCTCACCACGGTCGACCGTTACTGGACCAGTGGCTTCAGTACAACGGAGGTAACAACGGTCGACCGTCACTTGAAATGGTCGACCGTTCCGAACACAGTGAACTACGAAAATGCTATTTTTCAGTTCTAAAATCCTATTTTTGATACCAATTGATTATGATTATTATAAAAATGATTTACCACAATAAAATTGATGTTTTTAACAAATAAAAATGTTATGTGATGCATGACGGTAAGTTCGGGTGTTAACACTCGAAGCTAGGCCGCTAATTGTTGTTGAATATTATGTTGATTGATGATTATGGTAATAATTATTGGTTGATGATTATTAAATCTTGATAATTGTTCTGATTAAAAATGGAAATTATGAATGATTAAATCATAATGAATATATTGATGCTTGTGAAAATAATATGTATTGTTAAGGGTATCTAGAAGACCTCTAAGATATACCCATATTANTACGCTGTCGGTTTTTGGTTGACCTTAAGTGAAGGTAAGTTTAAGATTTCCAAAACCCTTTTATCTTAAACTAGGACTAGCTTAAGGATTATTAGGAGTACTCTGTATACTGGAATATAGTTTAATTAGTTAAACTAGAATTCATTTAAGGGTTGACAAATATTAAAGTGATTGGCCTTAGACTAAGAATAGTTTAATGATACTGTTGAATGACAAATGATGAATATACATGTTAGATGATTGAATAATGAATGTTGAAAATTGAATATTGATTATTGAATATCTGAATTGAACATTATGTGCATGATATCAAATGTTTGATTATGAATTGAGATCCAATTTATGTGGATGTTCGACGCATTAGATATGCTTACTCAGCTTTACCGCTGAGCGTGTAGTGTGTTTTATTTGCTACACGCAGGTCAATAGAATGATGTGACGTGATCCTGGAGGCAGACGGAGGCGAGATAGTCGGAATGGATGTGATGGTTTTGAATTAAAGAATATAAATAAATTATGTTTGTGGTTATGATTTGTTAAGCTTCCGCAATATTGAAAACTCTGTACTGTTTATGATATGAAAAATATTATTATGATAAATAAAAGTGTTTGAAAAGTTTTAAATTTTACGATTACCAAGTTAATACTTTAGTCCGAAAGGGGCTGCAGACCTGGACAGATTAGGGTGTTACAAACACTATGCTATTCGTAGATGAATATTATAATTGTATGAAATAAATGTGTGAAAATGAGTACTACATTATTTCAGAATGAGTCTTACGTTATTTTAAAATGAGTACCACGCTATTTCAAAATTAATAGTTCTGTTTGTACGAGAATGAGTACTACTTACTTCAAAATGGGTACCACTTAGATGTACCTATTTCTAGGTACAGCCGGTTGTACCATATACCATTTTCTAGGCGGCTATGTTCAGTTCAGTAAAACCCAAACGTTCTCCCAAATTCGTTTCGCCCTCTCAGCTTTTTAGCTCTACACAGTAGTGGCGATGAGCGCATGTAAAACCCTAGCCCGTGCATCACTCTCTCGGATCCAATGGAAACCTCGAACCTTGGCCATCCCTTTAAAGTTCCATTCTCTTTCTCCTCTCTACCTCTGCAGGCTCCTTCCTCCCTGTCTAAGCTCCTTCGACCTCTCCTCTGTTCCAGGTACACACGCGCCCACACATATGCGTTCATGAGTCTTATAACTGTTCACTCTATCTTGTTGAATTTGTGTTTAAGCATCTAATGATTGAAATATTTGTTATATCACTAATTTCAAATTTAGGGTGTAGAATTGAAGCTCGTAGTGCTATTATAAGGCGTTATGGCTGCAGTGAAGCTGCAGTACCACTCGAAATCGAGAGCTCCAAGAGTAACACTGAAGTAAGTTCAGACCAGAAGACCAGCCTTCATGTTCCGGAAGACTCGTGTGTAGACACTGTGGTCGAATTGCTTACAGAACAGAAAGAAGTTTCGAGGTTTATGAAAATGGAGCGTAGGCCCGAGGCGGAAGGCAATGCTCAACTGCAGCGTTGGTTTCCATATTTGGATAAATTTAAAGTAGGAAGTGTGTATTTGAGCAGTAATGAGGTGTTGGAAGCTATTGACCCTTACCTAATGGAGGGGAGGAAGGAAAGGTTTCGGAAAGCTGTGAAGAACAGAACTTATTCTGTTTGTTTGGTGGTGGAGGGTTTGAGTGATTATGGCAATGTATCTGCTGCGTTCCGTTCAGCAGATGCACTTGGGATTCAATCTGTCCATGTCATTTCCCGTGACAGCTCAAAAAGGTGCAAGGAAACTTGAGGTGAAAACTCATACGTATTAAGCTTTTTTTGCACATCTCTACAATTTGCACGAGCTTTAATGGCATCCACGCTTGGTTCAACATCGTTTTGTGTTATGTCTGAGTTCACTATGTTTATTGTAAAATAACAATGAAAACTGAGATGAATGCATCACTGCCAAGACCTACTATAGTACTGGAATTATTTGTTTAATTACAGTATATATCAAATGATAAAAACACAATATTTCTGCACCAGAGTTTTCAATTTGGTGTCTGTTAGCTGCTCTTTCTGATAAAGTAATTAAGTTGTATGGCTATCTTTAACAAAGAAAAAATTCATTGCTCTCATTAACTGTTTACTGACATTCTATATGTTCAGGTACAGGGACAATCGCCATGTTAGTATGGGGGCAGAAAAATGGTTGGATATTGAACTGTGGAATTCTCCACTCGAATGCTTTAGAGTTTTGAAGTCACGTGGTTATCGCATTGCCACTACACATGTTGGAATGGATGCGGTACATACTTTATTGAGGAAAGAATTCCTGATCATTGCATGTTTTTGTATTATGTGTGTGTTTGTGTGTGTGCGTGTTGTGTGCATGCGTTCTTGACTCATTGTAATGTTTTTTGGTGCTCACTAGGTATCAATATATGATATGGACTGGTCATGCCCAACTGCGATTGTTGTTGGAAACGAGCATAAGTAATCCTAATCCTCTCCTTGAGTGTCTGCATTATCATTGGGACCACTTTCTTTCCTGCATATATGATGTATTTGTTTTTGGATCTTGGGTACTAGTATCAATTGCCATAACTTTTTCTTTTAGGGTTTGCTTATATAAAAGCTAGAAATTTGGAATTTCATGTTTCAAAATTTTTTTATATTAAAGATACATTACAAAGATGTATTTTGATAGGTAATAATTCTTTAATTATTACCAATAATGCTTTTAATATACTAATATTATATATTAGACTCGAAAGCAAAACGGAGCCATATATGTTCCAAACAAAACAAGAGCCAAATAAGAAACATATATGCTTTTAAACAAAACAATTGCGAATGACACTAAAAAGACCTCTCATCAAATTACCATTTCAACCAACTTGATGAGGTAAATGCTATGGGTAAACAGATGTCTTTAACCTACTTGTTGTGATCCGGGTGCAAAGATCACTGTGATGAATTATCAACTTCTTATTTGAGTTGTCAGGTTATGGGAAATTTGATGTTGAAGCCTAGCCAGTTAGCACAGGATTAAGAGCCTTAGATCCAATGTGCAAGACCTCATCCCGAGTCTCCAGAAGAGACGAATGTGAAAGTATGGTGGATGGGGATTCAACCTAACCTACGCAAAGAGGGGGATAAGTGGAGAACACAGGCTGAAGCATATGCGTACAATAAGTTATTACTCCAGAGATGATATGTTGTACTTATAATCCTTATAAGGGAAAATGAAGAGTCCTAGACAAATAAGGGAAGCGAGATCCAAACTATTACAAAATTACAAAGATAGAACACTATAAGCAAATAGGAATACTAATAAAAGGAAATAAGCAGATAACTTGTGCGACCCTTCATAAAGCTTGGGCTGATCTGGTGTGTTCCTGGCCAAAACTACGCGTCAAAGGCCGCTCCTTTTGACTCGATGGCTTGACGGGAATGTTTGGCTTCCCTGTATTTTATTAATCTATTCTGTGTAAGAACAGAGGGAGGCCCAAGAGAGAGCGGTAGATTGAGGTGCACCAGCGCACCTCAGAGGAAATATCCACCCAACTGTGCTGTCAAATAGGCATCTTTTCTACTGCTTGAAGATTTGGCATTCCGGAACAAATTCAGCTGCCATTTTTTCCATCATGCCTTATAAAATACCCAATGCACTAATTTGGTTGTTTTTTCATCCTCCTTATGGGAAACTCTTATACGACTATGCTCTGAGATTTTGAGAGTGCCTTCCTCATCAAACCATAGCTGTGAAATGTACGCCTGAAGCATGTGGCTCAGGAGTAGGTGCATCAGTAGGACTGATGCGGCAGTGATTGAAAGGCGCATGCTTAGCTGCGCATTAGCGCCTTATGTGCACAAAGTGAGGTGCTGCCGAGCTGCCTCAAGGATGCATACTTTTTTCTTAACTAATTACTTTAAAAAAGAATTCTAAGGTTATTTACTGTCATCATCATTATCATCTGTTATTCCTACTATTATTACTCTTCGCTTCCCTTCTCTTATTTTTGAAACACTTTTATGTATGATTTTCCTTTCTATTTTTTGGTTAGTTGTTGTAGTTTTTACATTGAATATCAGCATAGTCACATCTGATTTTCCTTTTTTGTTTGTTTGTTTTGTGGTCTGTTTCTTGCTGCCTCTTTCTACCCATTATATTTGTTCATTAATTTCTTAATGTTATAGATAAATGTTCTTGGTTTGTTATGAAATTTGGTAATTGTATGTTACTTTGGAGTTTAAACCATGAATTGTATGTCATCCTTAGCACTTTAGGCTTCTTTTTTTAAATGGGGGTTGTTTGGATTGTTTGTGTTATTGATCTGGAATAAATTTATCTTTTGTTCCTCCTTTGTGCTTCATGTTCCTGAGCCACGCACCTCAAGGTGCTAGGCCCCTTTTGGACCTTAGTGTGCCTCGTGCCCTTAATTGCTATGCATCATATTGCCACCTCATTTATTTTAACTCAGAGTTGATTTCAGAATTGAAAAGTCTTGCTTCGAAGTTCTTTTCTCAACCACTAGCTAGCTCACCAAGCCAACTAACACATTTTTATGATTACATCAATACAAAAGTCTTGGCTTCATTCTGTGACAGGAAGATTTTGGCAAAGAATAAAGGAAAGTTCTATCGGCCCGTTGTCATACTAGCTATGTTGTACGGTGCGGATGCATGCTGCAGCGATGCAGATGTTGCAGTGGATGTGTGGGCAGACGAGGTTGGATAGGATTTGGGACAAGATTATCCGGGGATGGGTGGGAGTGACAATTGTGGAGGATAAGCGGTGGGAACCTATGTTGAGGTGGATTGGGCATGTGAAGTGGAGTAGAGTGCAGAAATGTGAGAGGCTTATGGTGGTGGGTGCGAATGTGGAAAGGGGTAGAACTAGAAAAAATTAGAATGAGATCATTAGACATTACCTAAGACTTCTGGCCTTTACCGAGGATATGACCTTACATAGGAACGTGTGGAGAACTAAGAGTCTAAGACTAGATTAGTTCGGTAGGCATTCAGGTCTGGAGGCAGTTTCTGCAATCGTCGTTGTGTGCTTTCTTTGCTTGGTGCTTTTTGCTTCATTGCGTTTTCCATTATTTACCCTAAGCTTGATGTGTGCTTCTTTTACTGTGCTATGTGCTTTCTGTTTTACTTGAGTTGGGGGTCTCTTGGAAACAACCTCTACTTTCGAGTAGGAGTATGGTCTGCATACTCATATCCTCTCCAAATCATATTCTCGTGTGATTCTACTGCACTGCTGTTGTTGTATATGTATGGATTTTAATCCACTAGACATAGTTGTCGGCTTCAAATATCAAATACACTACAAAAATGTGTTTTGTCACAGATTTTGTCTCAAACTGTAGTTTTAAATTTACCTAGACAAACTTCTTGTCACAGAATACCATTTTCCATTGACCAATTATCATTTTCCTTTGACTTATTTTTCAGAGTGAACCAAACACTAGAAAATATGGATTCTCTACATGGCTCTTAGCTACATTTAGGGCATGTTAAATTTTCATAATGTGAAGAGTTCTTTATTCTAGAATCCTGTAGTCTTCAATAGTCTATGGTTTTTTTTTCAATATTTCCTCACATAAATACAACTTGGCAAACCAGTAAATGAAATTTTAATTGCAGAGGAATAACTGAGGATGCCCTCAAGTTGTCAGATATGCACTGCAGTATTCCAATGAAAGGCATGGTAGACTCCTTCAACGTTTCAGTTGCTGCAGGCATTCTTATGCACCACGCTGCATGTGACAGGACTTCACGAATGGTAGTGATATTATAAAAACATTTTTACTATTTGTTAAGCGTAAAAACATTGTCTTTTCTTCTAAGAGATTCTTTTTCGATCATTTCAAAGCTTTGCATTTTTGAAAATCAGTATCTGTGCCAGTTCTAAACCAAACCTTCTCTAAAGGACATTCTGTCATGTTGGCACTAACAAAATTCCAATTTGTATATGCCTTTATATTGGTGCAAATTCTTCATCTTTCTTTGTCTCATAGTTCGGGATTGTGTGGTTATGAAAGTTCTTTGTTGGGTAGGGAGCATGTGTTTTTGTGACATTTACATTATGTTTGACTCATGGAATTTGTAAGGAAAAGGAAAAAAACGATTTTCTCTCATTTTCCTCACCAAAATGAGAAGAATTTGGTTTTCTCTCCTCTTGGTACATTTTGTCTTCTCATTTTCTTTTCCTTTCTTTTCCTCTCTAACCAAACAAGCCAATTCATTTTCTTTTCTTTTCTCTTGCAAATTCCTTGAACCAAACATAGTGTTAAAGTTTAAGGATTGCACGGTATTCTTCATGGTGGTCCTTATATCAAAATAACTACTCTGAAAGGTTTGTATTTTCTTGTAAAGGTGAAACCTGTTGAGGGCTAGATTTCTTTTTAAGAGAAAGATAATGTTTTTTTTCCTGCAGTTATTTAAGCTGCATCCACCGACAGAAATGATCTAGTGTTCTTACACATCAAGTTAATCAAAACTTAAATTTTCGTGTTTTTTTTTGGGGTTTGTTTTGGTGGGATAGGGATGTCATGGGGATCTAACGCCGGAAGAGAGACAAACTTTGCTAGCTGAATTTTCGTTACGTCACAGCAACAGTGCAGTAAGCATTGCTAATGAATATGCAAAGAGAAAGAAGATGAGCAGCAGGTGATGTCAAGGCTCTGAATGAATGAAGTGATATGCAATGTGCAGAGCATTGTGTTAGTTACTGCTGGCGTTGTGGCCACACTATGCTTTTCCAGCTCTGCAATGCATCATACTGTTTATGCATTTTCTCTATATTTTTTATTGAAACAATTCTACTTGTGTATTTTCACTGATATAGTTAGTCTTTCTATATAATGAGGTGCTAGACTAGTTGCGAGTAAGTCTCCACAAAGATTAATAGCCTCTTCTTTGAATGGGATCCTTCTTGATTCAGATTCTTATCTTGTCATATCTTGTGTGCAAACTTATTCTATTTTAGGTAGCCTGCAAATATCTTTTATATCAAGTCCTTTTTCACATAAAGTCAATGTTAGCAAAACATTACTACTCGAGTAGTATATTTATGAGTTCTATATTTGAGAATTATTCTACAATAGGTCTTTATAGTGGAAAAGTTTGCAAATATATTTTTTCACAAGTAGTCCAAAGAGCTTTTCATGAAAAGCATATTCTTGCGTTTGGGATCTTAATCCATCTATGAGTTTATTGAAAATATAAGGGAAAATTTATACTCCCTCCGTCTTGCTCTATTCGTTCAGTATTCTTTTTGGGATTGTCCTACTATTTTTGTCTACTTTCCTTTAATGGCAAGTAAAATATCATGAAAATTCTATTATATACACTCCCCTCTTCTTCTAGACCTCTCTCTTTTCTCCATCTTTCCATTTCGTGTACCCCACTCTTCTATCTCCGATTCTTTATTTCCTTTTTTCCTCTCCATCCACTCTTCTTCTCCAATTCCACTTCTCCAAATCTTTTTCTTCTTCTTTTCTTGATTCTCTTACCTCCTCCCCATCTTCATCTCCAATTCCATCTCTCTCCCAAACATTTCTTTCGATTCTCCCTCTTGTCCTATTAGACTTTTTTCTTCTTCTGATTCTCTCCCTTCTCCTAATTTTCGTCCCTATTTCATTCTCTTCTCCTCTCTATCTTCTTTTTGGATTCTTTCTTAATTAATTTGAATCTTCTTCCATAGATCTGATCAACAAAATGCTTCTTCTTCCACAGACCTGAGGAGCACAAGAGGCGTCCTGCAAATCCCGTGAAGATCTATTGTCCTTAACTAGTTTGTCAGGATATATGGTGGAGGTGGGTAGTACGGCAGTGGCAGGTGGTTGGATGGTGGAGGATATCCGGGGGGTGTGGTGTTGTAATAATGTAATGGGCTGGAGCGTGGGGTGGCGTGAGGAAGTAAAGAGTTTCTGTTTTTCCGAGGGTAATTCATTACCTTGGTTTTTGGTCCCAAAAGAATGTGGACAAAGAGTGTGGGTGGGAGGGAATATTTAAAATGTGGAGTCAAATGTTCCCCGGATTACTCTTTTTTGCAATTATGCAGTATAATGTTCTTAAGAGGGAAACAAGCTGACAAACCCTCTAAAAAACGTATAGTAAAAAGATTCAAAGATGGGGTATATTAAGAAAAGAAGCCAAGTTCATAATACTGAAATATACTTTTATAATAACTCACAAGAGAGCTATATTTGGTAACAAGGAAACCATTTGCCTTCCCGCACTTCCGCATTTACAGACAAGCTAAATTCGTTGCGAGAGAGACTTTTTTGATATGAGATCAAAAGATACCCCATTCCGCTGGAGGCGTTGCTGGAGATCTGTGGGGCCAAATATAATACCCGGAGGGAAGACGCCGCCTTTGGGCAAGTCATCTCGCTGGTTCAAAAGAACGAGGGCGCATTGAACCAGAATGATTGGAGTTGTCAAATAGCCAATCTCAGGTCCAGTGACTCTGGTAATAATCTCCATATCGGGTTTCTTATTCCCTTCAAAACTATCACTTGCATCACTAAACCCATGCCCAACAAACCACATCTTGAAAGAAGCACTTGACACCTCTTCTTCTGTTGGACCCTGCTTCCTAAATGACCCAAGGCTAAACACCGAAGGGAACTTCAAGAGCAGCCGTCTCCCTATGGACGATTTACCAAAGACTGCAATGAACAGCCCGACTGTCACAATGCGAACAATGCCCAACAGAGATTTGGATACTATCTTCACGCCAAAGTGGGCCGGTTTCACTGCAGCCCAGAATGCTTTCCTCTTTTCGATTTGCTGAGCACTCTCATTGACGCCTGGTATTCCTGCAGGGTTTTCAGCCAAGCACGAAAGCGTTCTCCGGACTACGACTGAATCTGCTGATGGCAATCTCAGAGCCCAAACCCCAAACTCTTTTTGGTGCTCCAATGCTGGTCCTTTGGGAGGTTGACCAGGAATCTGACATTAGTAGAGAATCACTTTAAGAGTTGTGTGTTAATCAAAATAAGGTAAAAATCAATCCAGAAAACTACTATTTATGTGAACAATTAGAACTAATTAGAAATGTTCACGTTATAATATCTGTGACATTGTGTCCTTCGTGCACCAAATTTACATTCTACTAAATGAGTACCTAAAAAAACTTTACATGTTAGTTCCAAGTCGGCTAATTTTTTTTTGCAATGTAGGAACTCCTATTTGTTAGAAAATGTTGTTTTTATTTAGCCCCTTAGAGCTGCAGCTGTGTTGTGACATGCTCTCAAGTATCCTGTTACTTGCAAACAAAGAAATTTGTGAGCGAAATTTTGCGATACGAGCTATCGATTTGGTGATCGGAATTCTTAAAACTATGTTTTGTTCATGGAATTTGTAAGGGAAAAGAAAGGAAAATGAGATGGAAAATAATTTTTCTTGTTTGGTTAGAGAGGAAAATAAAAGAAAAGTAAAAGGAAAAGACAATTAGAAGTCAAAATGTACTAAGAGAAGAGAAAACGAAATTCCTCCTGTTTTGGTGAGGAAAATGAGAGAACCATTTTCTTCTCTTTTCTTTTCAAATTCCTTGATCCAAACATAGTGCGAAGGATTTGCCGTGATTTTCTGGAATTTATTTATTATTTACTCAACTGTGAATGAGAATTGTAACCCTATTTGAAAAGCACAATGAGAAAATTGGTTGTTAGGGCCACTTGTAGTTTCCTATTGAAAATTGGTCAGGAGTTCAACTTGGTGTGTGTGTGTTTGCGTGCACACACACACAAGGAAGAGATAGAATTTTCAAAGTAAATAAGAAAGAAAACAGGAGAGAAGCATCAACACGATCGAAACTCAAGATTCATTTATTGAAGCTGATAATTGTGCTGTCGAGTAGATGAGTATGAGTTGAAATGGGCAAGGGCGGCCAACACGAATACCTTAATGAAGTTGTAGTAGCCAAAGATGGATCAATATATAGTGTGAGTTAGAAGTCTTAGTTTTGAGGTTTTATTGTAACGGAAAACATTCATGGTATATATGACTAGTGTAATCTGTTTCTAAAATTTAGAGGGGGCTATTACTCGGACACGGGGGCCCCACATGTTAGGAGAACTTTCTGCCAATTCTATGTGCATAATTCTCAAAGCTCGTAATCGAATTCAAATCGACACACGTCTTGCTTCGGACTTCTACTATACGCACCCAAAAAGCAGAAATCATCCAAATCGCATGTGAAGCAATTGAAGTGCATATTGGTGTAAAAACTGACTTATATGGAGCATACACTATAAATGCAATATTTTGCAAAATAGTTCATAAAGTTAACTGGAAGAGAAATTTTCATTCGAACCATAATCTATATGCTAGAATGAATGTGAAACGAAGAAGATCACTCAAATTTAAAGGGTTGATTATTTAAGGAGATCTGGAGGAAAAGAAATATCATACCGTGGGGCGAGGCCTCCTAGGTCTAGAACGCCTCAGCTCCTGGAGTTTGTTGATGTTGGCTACCCCAAGAACTGCTGACTCATAGGTTCCAAGGTTGCCCACAATCCTTCTGTCGGACTCAAGACTCAGGTACGCCTCCACTCGATTCGGAGCAGCCGGCGAAACCCACTGTCTTGAATTGAACATCAAGCCCAATTCAGCAGGAACAGAATCAAAACCACAAGCTGAGACTACCAAGGAACCATTCTCTGCAGCCTTATCGTGGTAAGACGCCTCCATCACCTCCATAAACTCCGGCTCCCCGCAGATATCCAGGTAATCGCATCCGGCGTCCACGCAAGCGGCCACAACAGGCTCACCATACAAGCGGAAAGGGCCGGCGCAATTGAGAACGATCTTGGCCTGAGAGGCGATCCGGCGGAGCGAAGACGGGTCGGCGGCGTCGACTGTGAGGATAGGGATTTCTGGCGGCGGGTTAGGGTTTGAGGCCCATTGGAGAGCTTGGGCTAGTTTCGACGGGCTTCTGCCTGCTATGGCCAATGACTTCAATGGAGAGGAGGGTTCGTTGAGGAACTTGAGGGCTTCTCGGATAACGTACTTGCCCGTGAAACCAGAAGCTCCGAAGATGACGATGTCATAGGTTAGCTGTAGCTCTTCCATTTCTGGCATTTCAGAGTACCAAAGAGAGGAACGAGGTGAAGATATAAGGAGTCTAAACTGAAAACAGAAAGTGGAATTTCGCTCGACTCTTGTAGAAACAGAATTAGGAATATTTAGGATGCATCCATTTACTCTGTACATTGTTTGTTTGTGAATTTTTTATTGGAAAAATTAGAGAAATGAAAAATTCACTAAGAGAAGTTATATTAGAGATTTAGGGGTGGGTTGGGAAAATAAAATATCAAAACCAAACTGTAATCGTTTGAATTGTATCAGAAAATAAATTGAATCTTAATCATTTGAAATGGGAAAATAAATCAAAATCAGACCGTAATCGTTTGAAATGTTTAATTATTTCTCTCTTGATTGTTTTTCTTGAAATCTTCTTGCTTGATGATTTAGTACATTTTGACTATAATCAATAAAGCCACATTTGTCAGAGAACATGAATGGTAAGTTCTCCTTGAAAAGCATCTTGGTCATTCTTTGTTTATTTTGTTAGTTGCTATAAACAAAGACTCTGCCCTTACCTTTTTTGCAAAGCGAGAAACCTGGGTCTATTTTCCCTTTGCATTCATTTTAGAAAACTCTATAGGGTTCCTTGCTTTGAGGTATTTGGTAGGCGAAACATAACCTCCAAAAATCCCCATATTTATTATTTCCCTACAATGTTTGCAGATTCTCGTAATAAGGCCATTTGCTATTTTTTATATCAAAATGGTATACAAATTAATCAAACTTAAGTTCTTTTTACCTCTCCCCAGATCTTTAGAGGTCTTAGACTCACCTGTCTCCCTAAAAAATATTCTCTCCGTGATTTACAATATTTGACATTATTCTATTGTCAATCGTTTTGAGAAATAGTTTTCAAATATAGAGAACCATGAAGAGAATATTTTTTTTCTCAAAAAGGCAATATGAAATAAGGAAAAAAGACTAAAGTAGGAATAGAACATTAGAAATATACAAAAATATGAGTTCTATGTTCTTATTCCTGAAATAGAAATTAAAATGCATATGTAGTGCCAATCATGACCATATATATTACCAAAAGTATTGTGAAATATACATATACAATACCACATTACCACCGTACAAACTCTTATTTTGGGGATAAAAAAATAAAATTTCTATTTTGGTACTTTAGCTATGTTTTAATCCTATTTTGGATGATTTCTTATGAAATAATTCCAAATGAAGAAGACAAAAAGAGAATGCTTGAAAATAGAGAACTACTAGTATATTAGAAATGCACCTGTTATGAAGGACTATCTAGAATACTTTTCTTCGGAAAAACTACTGAATAAATGTATTAATTTGGAATTTTGGATACAACTAAAGTCTTGACAACTGAAGGGGCTGCCCGGTTCGACGCGCACTCTAATAAACCCGTGATTAGAGCAGTCCAATTAAGGGATCATACATTCATACGAGTATCTGCATCGAATCAATTTGAATGAGGATATTTTTTTTTGTTCCTCACCACTCTCTTTCCAATGGGACCACTCTAGGAACTTTAAAAGAAAAATTTCCACTCATATCATGCTAAAAAAAGTTTGTGGAAAGTTTAATAAATTCTTCACTGGGTTAATCCCCAAAAAAAGTATACACGACAATATTCCTCACGAGTGCTCTCTCGATAATTAGTTACAATGTTGAACTTTTTATTGTGTTAAGGTCAAGGATTTGAATCCTAGTCATAACATTTTATTTTTCTCGATATTAAAAAAGTGGACTGTTGATTCACTTTATTAGGGTGCACTTCGAACCAAGAGGTCCCCTACAATATTGTTTGGATGAGACTCCAGAGGTTGTCAATGTCAGAGGCCAGACACTTGAAAGCTAAAAACAATGCGACTCTGCGAACCCCCGAACTCACTCAATGAGATACCCATACCTAGGGGTGTTCATCGGTTTAAAACCGGACCGGACCAGACTAGACCGGAGACCGAAATATGCCAAAACATAGACCGAAGACCGGACCTAAATAATCTCGGTTTTGGACCGAACCGGACCGAAATCACATGGACCGAACCGGGAAGACCGAAAAGACCGAATCCATGCTTAAAATTGAGTTCAATTTTTTATTTTGATAGATAAAAAAACAGTACAAAGAAATTGAAAAGAAATCAGGGGGATGCCAATGGCTCTACATTTCAGTTTGAGAATCGCAAACTGTGAAAAGAAATTGAAATCAAATAAATGCCTCTACAATTCAGTTTATCTGCCCACGTTCCATTTTTTTTAGTTTTGAATTTGAAAGGTAAAGCCTATTACTTGGAAATCTGGAGAAGAAGATGGTGGAGAAGAAGATTAGAGAGGGCTAACTACTGAGGAGTTAACGGTGATTAATCATCTACAACAATACTCATCATACCTTCGCAGATTCGATTGAAGCCTTTCGAAACACAAAGGAGATAGGAAATCTGAGAGTCGTCGCCGGCCGTCGGCCGTCTGAGAATCGGCTGAGATTCATCGGCCGACTGTGATTCTGACTTTCCGAGAAGCGTCGTCGGTTCCGTCGTCGGCCAAGTTGAGAAGCGTCAGCGGTTCCCTCGGTTGGGAAGGAGAGTGTAAGTGACGCAGCGTCACTGACGATTGGGAATTGAGATGGGTATTTGGGTTCTAAAAAATGGATTTGCACAGTGGACTGGACTCTTCACTCTTGGACCGATTGAAAATAAATGGGCTATTCGGTCTATTCGGTCCAGACCGATTGTGAATCGGGTTTAGACCGGACTGGACCGAAATCCGAAATGTTAAATATATAGGACCGAAGACCGACCCGAAATCAATTCGGTCCAAGTTCGGTCGGGTTTTTCGATCTGGACCTAAACATGAACACCCCTACCCATACCCCCTTGTGCTTCTGCACGTTTGTATCCACCTAGTCATTGATGCTGCAAGTGTTGTGCATTAGTGTTGCAATGTCATATATACATGCAGATGAACTATGGAGAAATTGCAAAATCTGGCAAACCAGAGAGTCTAAAACTATTGAAATTATGACTTAGGCCCCGTTTGGTACACGAAATTCAAACTATGGAATTGGAATTGAGGACTTCAATTCCAATTCTCTTGTTTGGTAGCACAAAAATTATGTGGATTTATAATTGGTAGTGCAAAAAATGAATTGGAATTGGTGAATTCAATTCTATGGAATTGAATCCCATTGAATTTTAATTCCAATTCAATTCTAATTCCATCAATTCTGTGTACCAAACGGACCCTTAATGTACCTCAAAAGTTGTACATGACCAGCTTATCATACGATAAGGGGCATGCATGTTACACATTTAGGTGTGGGAAACTATTGTCGTGCATTAAACACATAATAACATATCTGCATCAAATTGGCTATCCAGATTCCAGAATGGCACAACGTGGCAACAGATTTTTATCAGGCCATTGTTTTTTTACTTAATCAAGTCTTCTCAATAGGTATTGAACCTGAACATCCTTTGTCAATGGCATGATCCAGTCCCTATAAAGATCAGCAACTAGGCTAGGGTTTATCTTGTATACAGGATCACTTTTATCCCCCTCAATGCTGCTTGTAACCTCTTGACCGTATGTTCTAGTTTTCACCTCTACCCTATTTTTTATTGCCTCTTCGACTGCTGGATAGGTCAGCAGTTCCATCAGCTTTTTTCTGTCCTGAAGTGTGAATTTACCAGCACCACAAAGTCATTAGACATGACCAGTCTCAATCCCAGTCACAAGATGCAAAACTCAAAAAAACAATCAAGATTTTGGATAACTGGAAAATAAATGGAAACGAAATTACTTGTGCTAAAATCGCTGCGCTATAAACTTCAGGCGACGCCTGGTATTTTGCTTCAGCCACAAATTTTCCATAATGAATTCTCTTCGAGAGCGCCTGCATACGAGATTGGTAAAATGCTTGTTTGAAAACCATGTCATCCTTTTGTTTTCATTTCCTTCTCTTTTATTCGATATCATATTTTATTGTTATTATTATTTCTTTTGGAGGGGGGGGAGGTGATGGGAGAAACTAGCATTAAGACTAATCACCAAGAACAACAAGTCCAGTATAATCCCAAATCTGTTGGGATGTAGGAGTGAAGGTGTACACAACCTTACCCATGTGCGCAAAGGTTGTTTCTATTAGATCCTCAATTGATGCATTTATTGCCTAAACTTCATAGAAAAAAGAAGCAAAGGCAATTTCATATACCATTTTGATTTAGTCCATTTTTTCTGAATACTAAAACATTGTCGAAAATGAGTTCTTTAGTTTCAATGGGAATGGAAACCAATGAAGTGTTAAGAACCTTCCTATTTAATTGCATGTCCCAAGGAGTGCGAGGGTAAATCGACTACAAATTACACAGTTTGGCAGCATATCATTGTAAAAATTTAGTGTAGAAAATTTGGGATCCTACACATTCCATTTCATCATCTTCAGTACAAAATTCTTTCGATTATAACTGATCTAATAACAAAATAGAATTTCACTAGCATTTATACCTGCAGGCAAAGAGTGTCACAAACTGCAGTCGATCCACAATTACCATCATCCCCTTTTTTCACTAATCTTGGAAGAATATCTTTGAAGTACATATCCCATATTTTGTCATTGATATTGATTGATTTCGCAGATGGATGCAAAACCTATAACAATAAAAAGGCTGATAAAAAGGGTAAACATACATAGTAACAAAGGTGGTCAGATTTAACATAAATTCACTCTCATATATACAGGCAAAAGATACTTAAAATCCCATATGCTCAGCCTGAAAATGACTTAGAGCTACAGCCTACACTGTCATTCATGCTCAAATATACCTTCTCTTTGAGGAAACAAATAACCATATACACCTGATTAGCTTATCGTGTCTAACCCCTAAGGGTTGGTTTGGGTGGAGGCTTTTGAAAGTACTACGTAATTGTTTTGGAGGGCCAGGTCTATGTTTCCATATGTGATATGTGTTTAAGATTCTATAAAAATCGATAATGTAATATATGACTATACAGCATTTCAATAGCCACTTATTAGTTTCTAAAAAAAGTCTATTTATGAAGACATACACTATGCCATCCAAAGCCTTTCTTTCCCTCCAAAACTATCTATCCAATCTGACCATAATTGTACGTTTGGGGGTGGGGTTGAAAGGAAATGGAGAGGAACTATTTTTCCATCTGAAGGAAATAATTGTTAAGTTATTAACTTTAGAAAACAAAAGGTATAGAAGGATAAATTTGTACAAACTCAACATTTGAGTCATATATATATACTATCATAAACCATATACATGGTCAATAGTCAATACACCCCCCCCCCTCTCTTTGTGACGACCTCTCATACATGCCCACAAAGAAGCAAACTATGTGGTCTATGCCAAACAACAACAATAACCCATTTGAATCCCAAAAAAGTAGGATCTGAGGAGTGTGTGGGTTCGCAAACCTTACCCCTACTCGAAAGTAGAGAGGTTGTTTCTAAAGAGACCCCCTGCTCAAGAACCATAGGTAATCACATACGCAGCCTAGCCCTTATGTCTAAAATATAGAGCGGGCCAGATGACCCATGATGAGCGTCGAAAGTTGCAATGACTAATTGCTACTTAAGTGCTAAAAGAAGCGCAGACAGTTTAAAGAGATATTTTGCTTTATTCCACCATACCCCAGTTTAAACCGCATACAATTTTTCTCTGCCAAAGAAAGAGAAAACTGGATGCATATGAACCATTTTCCTGGACATCAGCAATAAATCAAACTCGCATAACAAAAACTCAATTTAGGCCACCTGTGGGTATTGAAGGGGTGGTAACATGGGTTGAGGCAGTTCATCTGGGAAAAAAGGATGCTCGTCAGGGCTCTCGTACCTTCCAACCTACATATATTTGGAAAAGTATGCATAAATGCACCCATTTGCCTCTCTTTTTATAGACAAAAGAAATAGCGATATACAACATAGATACCTTAGCATGAAGCTTCTCAGTTTCTTTCAAAATGTAATCCACCAACGAGCCATGGAAGGCTTCCATTGTAAAAGCATCGGGGTCATATGTCTCGGGGTTGTAGCAATACTGAGCTCTCTCCACAAGGCTAAATATAATGCTATCCTCTTGCCGAATTAAAGAACTTCTAATACCATCCAGAGTATAACTCTCTGTCTCGTCTACTCTACTTTTCTTTCCCATTCTAGAAAGGAAAAAAAATTGAATGAAAAGTGAGATATTAAAACCAAATACATCTCTCATCACTTGAAATGTAATGCACAGGACAGTATATTCTAACTTAACATATTACTTTTGTTGTGGAATTGAGAAAATCAATGAATTAGTTCCATGAAACACTTGAAGCTACAGAGAGTTTCAATGAAATAGCATTGCAGTTTTCTTCTATAGACGATAGTTCACATCACCAACTGGTGGCCATTTCAGCATTGTCTCTAACCAACTGGTGGCCAATTGCCCAAATTCAAACCAATCAAACTTTCAAAATATTTTTTTCCCGAGATGGGACCTTTTATTGTAAATGTAAATACAAGCTTTAAATTTATTAAATAATCATTCATAATTTCATATACCTCACTACCTCTTAAGAAAAAGCTTAACTATTTTCCTCTCAGTCAAATAAGCAATGATTTACAATAGAAAACTTTTCATTTTTACTGCTTTAATAGAATCTCGTTCAGAATCTGTTACTCCATCGTCCAATAATTTTCAACTTCCTCCGGTCCTAAAAAATCTTCCCGCTATGACTTTTTTAGTCAAACACCAACACTCTTTGACTATAAATTAAACATAATCTAAATAAATAAATGTTATAAAAGTTTGATATATCAAAACTATATCCTAAGATGAACCCAATTATATTAATTTATTTTATAATTCAATATACTTTTCTAACAATTTGAGGTCAAAGAGTGTCACAGTTTGACAAAAAAAGTCAAAACAGGAAGAGTTTTTAGGACCTGAGGGAGTAATTGTTTTCATTTTTGTGTTTTTAAAAAGGAAATGACAAAGAAAACCTTCTCACTCATTAAATATCATAAGTTCATGAACAACAATGGGCATTACATCCAAACATTAGAGTGTTTACTTTTTTTGCTAAACCATTCAAAGATCAATTGTTGGTACATTAAGTTCCTTTACTTTTATAACAATCACGGTTTTGAACTGTGAGGTGGAAACTGAATTTCAAAGTTGCTACTTCCTTTACTCTTATAACAGTCAGCGTTTTGAAAACAAATTCCCCAAATAAAAGTAGAGGCTCAGGCAGCCACCCATACCCCTTGCCTGGGTCTGCCACTGCGTCAGCTCCTTTGGGGCCGACGAGTAAACTCCTCAGCCATAGTAGAAAATGTAAAGGATGATGGCAAATGAAAGTTAACAAAATCAAAATCTCGAGGGAAATTTCAGTGACTAAACAATTAAAAATTACCCAGGGGAAGTAGCAACGGCTTTGATAGGGCGAATGCCATCCTTCGAATTGAGGGACCGAAAGCTGCATCCTTTACGCAATTTGTGCTGAGAGACGACGGCACAGATCCTTGAGGGCCGGGAGATATAGAGGCTTTGAACTCTAAGAGGACTGGTCCGAAGTAGCTTTGCCTCCATTATTGCAGAGAAGAGATGCAGGCAGGAGTCGGATGAAGACGACGATGGGTTCCCGAGAGGATTGGTAATAAGATACCAATCGTGGAAGCAAATGAGGGTTGGTGAATGGTGATTGCGCCTTATTCAAATTCAATTTCGGTTTGGGGGACTTCCCAGGGTGGTTTGGTGGCTGGTCGTTGTATGAGACGGTTCTTATTCCAAGTCCTAACGCGCAGGGTAGGTGGGTAAACAGAAGACACCGGGCATAATCTGACCCGAATAACGTATGGACGGGCCCAAGACCGTACCAGAACCCAATAATGTGCAATCTACTTAATTTAAAGAATTAAGCTAGGGGTACACCAACATGGGATACCCCAAGTGTACACCAAGCCAACATAGACACAAAGTGTCTGTATGTATCTGTGTTGGCTTGGTGTACACTTGGGGTACCCCATGTTGGTATACCCCTAGCATTGCCTTAATTTAAAACCTAATTGTATAAATGTATTGATATTATTAATCAAACACCATTGTTTTTTACTTTTTTAACATATTTTGGATAAAATATATTCTCCACAGAAAATTTTTTACTTTACGAAGTTTAAGCATGTGAATAAAATTATTATACTTCTTCCGTCCACAAATAAATTTCTCGTTCACTATTCACAGGGTCAAACTTTATTCACTTTGTTAACCTACTTTCGTTACACATTTGATAAAATAAACATCTAGTTTTGTAGATCTTTTGATATAGTTTTTTAATATGTAATTTTCATTTTTAAATTTTACACCATTTTCATATAAAATGATTTGAAAATAACTTTAGTCAAACATTGTAACGCGCAATGGGAAGTTTATTTGTAGACAGATGGAGTATTTACTTTTTTCACACTTTTCGTATTGAAAAATATTTAGATATCATTAGTATTTGATGGTGTAAGTTAGTTGGAAAGAGTTCACTACGATGACCCAAGTCCAAGGGAGTGAATCGATCAGACACATTGAGTACTAATCACACAAAGTATCAAAAAGGTTGTAGGCGAGAAGAACTGTAACCCGGTTATTATTATAGACTTATAGAATACAGAGTTATAGTACGACTATGCTCTCAAGTTCTCTCCAAAATCGGATCCCCATCTAAGAGGGTTTACATGCATGGGTATTTATAGGGGGAGAAAAGGGAAACTGATACAAAGTGTTATCGTCATGTCGTTATCACGTTAACTGTAGCAGCACCAGGAAAGCTCAATTAACACATAAAGGTCATGTCTACAGTAGTCATACCCTCAGTAATCATACGGTTCACCAACTTCCGTGTGGTTTCAGCTATTGAGTAGGCCGGTATCGCGGATCACCCCATCTTGTCCCTTACTCATTCGCCACCTGCCGTGCCAGCTGCATGCGATGTTTCAATTGGTCCCTGCGCCAGATGAAGGGTCAACCTTTACTAGTGGGTCATCGCGTCCCCTTGGGCCATTCACCAACTCAATCAATTGCCCACTTTACCAGTCGTGCTAGCAACCTCCCTCAGGATATCGCCTTCTATCCAGTTGAGTTTAAGCCCGGACAAGTACAAGCCCAGACAATCATGGGTTTATACCCATGAAGGAGTCCTCTGCTTCTAGCCTTGTCATCAAGGGTGATAAATTGAACCAAATCCAGCACCTCTAGCAAACTCCCTCCTCTAAGTCTTTGAAATTTGAATTTTGAAGTTTAAGCTATGAAAAGTGTGGTCTCGTGCTCCCCATGATTTGTTTGATTTTTGTAGTTGGATTGCCTAGGGAATAGGTTCTGACGGTGCCACCATTCCAGCTGTCGAGTCGTTTCACTTCTCAAGGTTATGATGGGCACATGTTGTTTCTTTTTCCATGTGTCGCTCATCTATAGGATTGCTAGGGCGGTGAGATCCTTATATAAGGCGAACCTCCTTTCCCATTTCTTTACTTCGCATCCAAAATCCTAGAGAATAGATCAGGCCATTCCAAGCAACCCCTTTTCTAGTTCTCCAAGATAAGCCACCGTGTTCTCCTCTCTTGACTTTTAGATCACATAGTAGGATAGCCATGTCTTCGGGTTGCGATAGCCAAAACGAGTCAGTTCATTCTTATGCTTCTGCGAGCTCTAATTCCGTTTCCCACTCCTATTCCCCTTCTCCCGTCTCTTCCCTCAGAGCCCCTGTGACTTGAGCTCGAGCCTCCCTAACCTGGTTGTCACTCCTCCCCGAGCGCTTGGGCTGGTTCCGACGCAGCTGAAGATGATCGTGTAATGCTTAAAAATATATTCTCAAATTTAATGATGAATTTCTAGTAAATTGTAATTCTGATTTTTACTTAAATTATTTAAGAATTTAAACTACATGGCTAAAATAAGTTGTTTTCAAAATTATTCTTTATTGTTAACTTTATATTTGGATTTTAAGTCTCAAAGAGATGAGTCCAATGGTATATTCCGTGCGTGAATCCAAGTTACAAAACTTACTAACTTGAATGGCCCAAGAGCGAAAAGACAATGAAGTAAAAGAATACAATACTACCTCCGTCCCAGTGTATTTGTCCAGTTTGACTTTTTTGAGTCAAACAGGACAAACTTTTAACTCCAATTACTCTCGGTTTATAATTCATATTAGCATAATGAAATACAATTTTGAAAGTTCTCAATACGATAAATCCAATAAAATCATTTTTATGTTAAAATAAATTACAATTTTTATTTAATTGAAGCTCAAAATTTGTCAAGTTTGACTCGAAAAAATCAAACTGGACAAATACATTGGGACGGAGGGAGTATGAGTTTTTCATAATGTCGGAATTATAAATCTAACATTGGTGCCATAAAATAAATACTCCTTGATTGATTACTGAATGAAAGGAAAGAACATATGAAGAAAAATCTGGCATGAATTGATTTTATAATATAATAATAAAATTAATATATTATACATATAACTTAACTTCTACCATATAAAAAACACTTCCCAAGCCCATAACACGCGCGCACACACACACACATAAAGGCCAAGTTACGAAAAAAGATGAATAAAAATGTAATACCCCGTATTAAGATGGGAATGAGAATAGCTCAAAAGAATTGATAGTACTACTCATACTAACAATGTGCATCTTCTTTTCGAGAGCTCATCACTTAGAAGCTCGAAAGTTATGCATGTGTGGCTTGGAGCACTTCTAAGATGGGTGACCCCCTAGGAAAATCCTTGGGCGTGCACGAGTGAAGATAAAGTGTGCGGAAAAGACTTGTGTTGGTAGGGTCAGTCTATAATCCTATGAGCGACACTTACAGCTAAGGTTGGGGTTTTGTTATTACAAATGGTATCAGAACAACCCTACGACCATGATGGGTTAAGAGTGTAACACTTTAAGCCGTCTAAGTCTGCAGCCCATTTTGGACTAAATTATTACTCCCTCCGTCTTAAAACTATCTTCCCACTTCCCTTTTTCCATCCTAAAACTATCTTCCCAAACCCAAAAAAGATATACAATGACTAATATGCCCCTTTCACCATTTACTTCCAATCTTTCGAGTCCCCTGGCAATCTAGATCTAATCTTCGCCACACTTCCTCCAACCCTTCATCTTCTTCTCTCTTCCATCCCAAAATTAGATCTATTTTTCTCGCCCAACTTCAAGTAAAGTTGTTGCCCTTGCCTTTTTTTATCGTCGCTGCAATTGGTAAGATCTGTTTTCCGATTGCCGCTGCTCTCACCAAGATCTATTTTTTGATGGTCATTGCCGTCCCACAGATCTTTTTCCCAATCGTCGATGTGTGGAAACCTAAGTTGTGAGGTCGCCTCCATGCAATCAATGTCCTCCCACTGTCTTCCAGGTCGCGAGGGAACAGTAAGCAACATCTATCTCTGATCGTGACTGTAGGTGCATACAAAGAAACAATGTTACCCATCACAGTTCCAATTGTTGGTGTCGCTGCCGCTGAGTCAATGAAATATATAGATCAACGCCGAGCACACTGAGAGCACAGTCGTGGCCCTCGTTGCTGTCGCCGTGCTAAAAGCGGCTGTTAGCGTCATCGAGCAAGCAACACAGCTTAGCCGTTGTTCCAATCAAAGTCGCGGATATGGAAAAGAGGAACAATTTTTTTAATTAGGTTAGAATTGGGGTTCTGGGGAGGAGGGCCGGTCCTGAGGATTCATCAGCCTTGGCCGAAACAGAAAAAAGGCCTTAAAAGTTTTATCCTTAATGGTCTAAAAAATTCACATATGTAAACTAATTATATTTAAATTATAATTAGCGCAATATTATTAGAAGAAAAAAAATAAATGACAAAATTATAGTATTATAATTACATATCGTAAAAGCTAGCCGAGGATTCGAGAAGTTCTCCTTGCATTCTTGAGACCAAATTGGTTGATCACGTCTTCACAGTCTATACTCTCTAAGATTTCATTCTTGATAGCTATTATCGCCAATCCGCTAAGTCTTTCATAAATTCTACTAAGTAAAATCAAGAATAAAAAACTGAAAAAAGCAACCAAATAAATAAATCATAAATTAATATCAATTCATCAATTTTTCTTTTTAATTGTTTTTTTCTTTTTCAGTTTTAATTTTTTTATAAATCATATATTCATATCAATTCATTAATTTATCAGTTTTTAATTTTTTTTCGGTTTCAGTTTTTTTTAATATACATTTATCATTATCATAAATAATAAATACAAATCAATTCATCCAAATCAAATAAATAACATATAGAACCATTCATTCTATTTCAAAGAATGAAATTAGAAAAGATTTTAAATTAAAAACTAAAAATTAATCCTAGATTTTAAATCTAAAAAATGAAACAATTAAAGAAAATTAAGATTTAAGAAATAAAAATTACAAAATTGGAAAGAGCTAATTACCTAGAGGGTTGAAGGGTGGAGCCGTGCAGATCGGCAACTCGGCGTCTGGCGGTGGAGGCGGGCAGCAGCGACTGGGCTCTCTTCTTTCTTCTGGTCTTTCTTCGATCGGCACTTCAGAAGCTTTTCTTCCATTTTCTTTTTCTACAAGCTAAGGATTTGATGATGGACTGGGCTTGGGGTAATAATTAAGTGATGGGTCATGAGTAGACTAGGCCTGGGCTTATAAGCATATATATATAATACTTTAAAAATATTTTGCCCATTAACTTTTTGGGCCTGGCCCGGACGAACACCTTGTCCCGCTATTG